CTCTCTCCTCTCATGGTCAGGTCCAGTCTACCGGCCACGCTCAAGCTACTGCTTTCTCGCTCTGCTCTGGACTCTTCCAGAGGCCTCTGGCTGTTCTCTTCCTCATATCTACGATTAAAAACCTTCCGCTTAACCATTTCTTGGGTCAGTGATGTCGTCAGTTTATACACTTCCTACTTCTTTCTCTGTTGTTCGGTGTGGAGTTTGTATTGTTTGTTTGAGACAGGATCTTACCGGGTAGCCCTGGCTGGCCTGGATCTCACTGTGTAGCCCTGGCTGGCCTGGATCTCACTGGGTAGCCCTGGCTGGCCTGGGTCTCACTGTGTAGCCCTGGCTGGCCTGGGTCTCACTGTGTAGCCCTGGCTGGCCTGGAGCTCACAGACACCTGGACCTCTGAATTAAAGGCACGTACCAGCCACTCCGATCCTGCGGTTGGATTGTGAGACAAGTGCTCACTACTATACCACAGGTTAGTCTTGAACTCTTGACCCTGTATTAACCTCTTAAACATGGGATTATAGGAGTATACCACTTGGCCTATTCTACTCTGTATACAAGTTAGCAAGCTGTATTCTTAATTGTGCCCTTTTAGTTTTTTTTTCTAGATGTATGTGTTTCAATGTTTGCTTGCATGTGTATCTGTTCACCACATACATGTTTGGTGCTCATGAAGGTCAGAAGAGGGAGTCAGATCCCCTGGAACCTGAGTTACAGATGGTTGTGAGCCACTATGTGGTGGGTGTTGGGAACTGAACCTGGGTCCTGGAAGAGCAGCCAGTGCTACAGACCTCTGAGCCACCTCTCCAGCCCCCTGTGTACTTTTCCCACAGTCACATCTGCTTGTTTTTCAGTACTGGGCTGGAATCCAGGTCTTCGTACACACTAGCGAGTGTTCTACCCCGACCTGCTCCCCTACATGGTCTCCTATATCTTATACTAAACAAAAATGTCGCCAGGCGGTGGTGGCGCACGCCTTTAATCCCAGCACTCGGGAGGCAGAGGCAGGCGGATCTCTGTGAGTTCCAGGCCAGCCTGGACTACCAAGTGAGTTCCAGGAAAGGTGCAAAGCTACACAGAGAAACCCTGTCTCGAAAAACCAAAAAAAAAAAAAAAAAATGTCACAGAGTAGTCTCAGTCTCCCCTTTTCCACCTCTGCCTTCTCTCTCCACAGCATTAGTTGAGAACTGTCCCTACCCGAGTCTCCTTCGGCAGGCTGGCCTGGACAGGCGTTAGGACCTGCCCTGGAAAGGGCCTCAGCTTGGTGTAGGCTCAGCTCTGCCTTTATCGAAGTCTTTTCATTTTTGAGACAGGGTCTCATGTAACTCAGGCCAGCCTCCAACTTACCATGTACCAGAGGCTGGCCTTGAACTCCTGATCCTTCTGTCCCTACCTCTGGCATGTTAGGACTGAATGAGCACACCCTGACGTCTTAATACGTTTTGAACAAGGGGTGGTCCTTTGGACTCATTTTACAATGTGCTCCAGACACACCTTCTGTGGCCGGCCCTGCTCCTCAGACCCTGACTCCATCGGGCTCCAGAGGAAGACTTGGTCTTGGAGGGGCACTGGACTCTGATGGGGGAGGTGCAGGCTGCCTCAGCAACCCCACAGCAGCCCCCTCCTGTGAGCACTGAAGAGCAGGCCTGTCTGCATCAGGGTTGCTGAGAATCAGGAAGATCCCAGCCCCACCCCTCCATTGATGTCTTTTTGATGTGATAAAACACACACCAGAAAGTTTATCGTTGAGGCCATTTCTAGTTTTTGTGTTTTGGTTTTTTGAGACAGGGTTTCTCTGTGCAGCCCTGGCTGCCCTAGAACTCGCTCTGTAGACCAGGCTGCCCTAGAACTCGCTCTGTAGACCAGGCTGGCTTTGCACGCAGAACATCCACCTGCTTCTGCCTCCTGAGTGCTAGGATTAAAGGTGTGCACCATTAAATATGGCCAAAGATTTTGTGTGTGTGTGTGTGTGTGTGTGTGTGTGTGTGTGTGTGTATTTAAAAAGCTTATTTATGTGTAGAAGTGTTTTGTTTCCATGTATATGCACGGTGCTGGTGAGGTCAGAAGGGGAATTAGACCCCTTGAACTGGAATTATGGATGATTTGTAAGTACCATGTGGGTGCTGGGAACTAAACCCAGGTCCTCTGCAAGAGCAGCCAGTGCTCATAATCATTGAGCCATCTCTCCAGTGCCCAGAGCTAGGTTTTGCTTTGTTTTTTAATTTTTAAGGCAGGATAGAATGACAGGAAAGGTCAGGTATGGTCAGGCCAGGCAGGCTCTCATCTCAAAACAAAAACAGAAGCCGGGTGGTGGTGGTGGTGATGGTGGTGGTGGTGGTGGTGGTAGTGCACACCTTTAATTCCAGCACTCAGGGATGCAGAGCCAGGCGGATCTCTGTGAGTTCGAGGCCAGCTTGGTCTACAGAGAGAGATCCAGGACAGGCACCAAAACTACGTGGAGAAACCCTGTCTCGAAAAACCAAAAATAAAATAAATAAAAATAAAAATAAAAAATAAAAAACAAACAAATGACAACTAATCCCTACTGAGGAACTATTGGGAATTAACTGATGGCTGCCGGGGTAGGGGAGTCATTTTTCTGGGGGTAGGGCTGGTAGATTGCCTTTGGACAGGAAGGCAGCACTTTTAATTGGATTCATAGTGGGAGGGGGGCACATGTTGGTGGGGAGTGGAAGGGAAATTTGGGCATGAATATGATCAAGATATATTGTGTGTATGTGTGTAGGAAATTGTCAAAGAATTAAATACAACTCTTCAAAACAAAAACAAACAGAAAAATCCGTGGTGACCCCACTCTCTGTAAAAGGGTCTGGACACACAGCTTCCACCATCAGGTCAGGTTGTCTCGAGGTCTGTTCTCCTAGCCCCTTCCATCTCCGGGGATCTTAGCCATGACCAAGCGGGGCTGTGGAGGTGACACCCCCCCACACACACACACACGCTGTCTCCCACTAGGCTTCACTTTCAGTTCCGTACGACGGCCCGACGTAAAGCTGCTGTTCTCTGAGCGCTGGTTTCGTTCTGGGCTTCAGGTATAATAAGGAAGTTGTCAACTGAAACGGCGCCTGTTTTTCCTCCTCCTCCCTCTCCTGGGTAGTTATACCAAGCTTCCTATCTCTGGCACAGCCCGGAGGAGGGGGAAGCAGCCCAGGCGGGCAGCACAGGTAGGGTTGGGCCAGCGCTGTCCTCTGGTTGGCTACCTGTGAGCTCAGCCCCGGGAGACAGTGATATATACAGCCCAGAAGTTCTGAGCCCCTGTGAATATTGTCACAACAGCAGCTTCTTCCCGGAGGCACAGGAACCGACCCGCACAGGACTTCTACTGAACAGGGGCCATGCCCCGCTCCAGGAATCCCAGCCCAGGGATGTCCCGGGACAGCAGCGACTTCCGTGGTCTCAGGTGGGTTGAATCCTTTCCTTGTGTGTGAACCCGGGCAATGGGTGGGTATTTCAGGGTCCCGAATGGAAGCTAGACGCACTAGTAATAGACCCCAAGTCCAGACTTGGCTCTGCTTCTGGCTTGATGAGCCTCCTAGGGTTTTTTTTCTTATTTTTATTTTTGTTTTTTTGTTTTTTTCTAAACGGGTTTCTCCGTGTAGTTTTGGTGCCCGTCCTGAATCTCGCTCTGTAGCCCAGGCTGGCCTCGAACTCACAGAGATCCGCCTGCCTCTGCCTCCCGAGTGCTGGGATTAAAGGCGTGCGCCACCATCGCCCCGGCCTTCTTCTTCAAAAAGACAGAACAGGGGCCAGCAGGATGGCTCAGCAGGTAGAGGTTGCCTGACATCCAAGCCTGACAACCTGAGTACAGTCCCTGGAACCGCACAGAGGAAGCATGACAGAATGACTCCTCTGCCCTCCACATGTGTGTCGTGGTACACACCCCCCCCACATACCCACACACCCCTAACCCACACATACACACACCACACACAACTCCCCACATCACACCCCTGCACACACACGCGCGCGCGCGCGCACACACACACACACACACACACACACACACGCACTATACACACAACCCCCCACATCACACCCCTGCACACACACGCACACACACACAAAACTTCCCATCACACCCCTGTACACACACACACACAAGCACATCCATATACATGGACGAAGAGAACCCAGGTCAGTCTAGCTGACCCACCACAGTGCTCGGTGGCTGCTGAGGGGTCTCCTGGGACCTGCAGCTGTGTTCAGGAAGGCACTGTGCTGGTGCCTCTGGGACTGCAGAGGTTGGGACTCTGGCAGGAGCCTCTGCCCACCTGCATCTGCCCCTGGCCTCCACAATGTTTAAGTGTCCAAGGACCAGCTGGGAGCATCAGAGAAGGGTGCTCAGGTGTGAGGGAGCCAGGCATCACCAACAGATTTGGGGTAACTGGGGTGACAGACTGGAACAGTGTGGGGTGTGGTGGCTCTCTTTCTGTTATGTAAAGGAAGGCCACCACAGACTTCTGTTGAGCCCAAGGTGATCTGCCTTCAGACCCGGCCTCTGAGCAGGAAGGGGTCCTCAGAGGTTTCAGGAACACCTACCTGCCAGGATGGATCTGGAGGATTCCCACACTGCAGGGGGTGTTCTCGGCACTTTGTAGGAACGCAAGAAAGACCCTACTTCTAAAAAAGATGGAGGCCCTGAATTGTCACCACTTAACAAGTGGGGCCAGGTGTGGCACAGGACAGGCCCACCATTTTGGGAAAGCAAGACCACCGTGTCTCCCATTCCAGGCATGCCAGTGGAGGCTCAGGGGTCTCCGAGGAGCACCTCCTACCCGGCAACGGAGCACCTCCTACCCGGCAGGTGGGAAGGCAAGAGCTGTGGAAGTGTCGGTACCGTTGCAGGGGAGTCCAGATGATGCATTTGCAGTTAGCTTCTCCTGGCCCTTGCTGGGAAGCTTCAGAGCCTGACAGACAGCTGTAGGAGGCATGGGCCCACGGGAGACAGCCTGAGCTCAGCAGAGCCATTGGCCATGGGGCTGCGAGGCCCACTCTGGGCCCATCATCTTGTGTGTGGGCTGCGCGTGCATTGTGTTGAGAAGAGGTTGCTTGGTGCAGGAGTGAGAAGATGGGATTTGGAATGGGATGTGGGCAGAAGAGTGCTCAGGCCTAGCTCTTTGTTCCAGCTCTGGGACTCTGACAGTGTGCCAGTGGCTTACGACCTCAGTTCCCCATGCCAGACAGTCTGATTCTCGGGGCCCTGTCAGAGTCGATGAGATCATAGAGGTGAAGGGACTCACAGTGTGTTTGTGTATAATTATTTATTTGTTCCATAAATACTCAGGGCCTGCCTGGCCAGCGGTGGGAACAGCAGGGAAGTCGCTGGCCAGGTATCCCTCGTGGGCCTTAGATGTGAGGCAGCAGCAAGCTTGGCTTTTAGCCTCTTACACTGGAAACAGAGGCAGTATTGGACATTCTGAGTTAGGGCAGGCTGGCCGTGTCCAGGATGTGTTCCTGAGGGCCTTCCATGGTATCTGTGAGGCGACGTGTGTGTGTGTGTCGAAGCCTACAGGGGCGGAGGAGGGAGTGCTTTGAGGCATGTGAGGCCAGGCCAATGTAACGATGAGGTCAGAGTGCAGTTTAGAAAATATGCCAAACACAGCCTCGTGCTGGGGAAAACCATGCCAGCTTGGTGTGACTTCTTTGGTCCTTTGTGGCTGTGAAATGAGTTGCCGGAACCACTTTCCTGTCTTAAGCTCTGTGATCCACGCATCACCCAGGCATTTCTGGCTAGGGTGGACTTTGTTCTGAAAGCTCTCGGCCGTGCAATAAATGTGTTTACATCAGTGGCTGGGTTGCTATGGGCTCCTGGTCTGGGCCAGGTCAGGATTCCCCTGCAATGACCAAACATGTGAGCAAAACAGTCAGCTGTCCGTGATGACTCCTAGATGGGCAAACGTTCACACTGAGAACCTAGAAAGATCAGTGGCCGTGTAACATGGGGAAGCGGATCGCTGTCTTCTCAGGAAAAACAGACTATCCAACAGAGAAGGTCTCTTTGGGGTAACAGGCTCACCCACTCTGGCCAGCCACACTCTCTCAGCCCCGGACCTGGATCTGGAACAGTGTTTCTAGAACATTCCAGAGAAGGAGCAGGCAGAGGGGCCGAGGGAGAGTCGAGCTGAGTTCAGTCAGTCGAGGCCATCTGGAAAGAGTTGCCAGGAGGTGATCATGGGATTGAAGGCCAGGACACCTTGGGCAGGAGGCTGGCAAATAAGAAGTCATGGGCTTGAGGTCAGGAGGTCGTGGGGACCCTGGGGTGGTCCTTCACTGGGAAACTTCACTGGGAAGCGTTGTGGCACCGCGTGGGTGTGGTGAAGTAGCATAGCAGCAGGAAGAGGCTGAGCTCATCTCCACACTGGGGGAAACTGTTTCCATAGCAACTGCCCCTTTTTAAAGATGGCGGCTGCTCCTTTCTTTCATCTGGGTGGGAGTGCTCCTACTTGCGGTGGGATGGACCCCTGAGGCAAGCCACCTCAGGGAAGAAGAGGGGCCTGAGCTGACCTATGATTGATGGCTTCCATGATTTGGTGGAACAGCTATCCTGGCTAAGAGAAGCCCCGACCTGTTTGTCAATATTTCTGGCTCAGCTTCCTTTGAGCTAATTTATATAGTCAGGTAGTTCATTGGTCTGAATCTGCCTTCTCTTAAGCCCGCATGCCCTCTGAGCCCCAGCTTTATCAGTTTAAACACCAGAACGTTCTGTTTTAGATGTACGTGGCATCTTACTCATGACTGTATCCCAGAGGCATCACTAGTGAGTGTGGGCAAAGTCAAACATTTTCCTCATTTTTTTTCTCCTCCTTATCCCACCCAGAGCTGTATTTTGGAAACACAAAAATAAGGCATCTTACTCTGGGGCTCTCAGGAACATGAGCCAGTTTCTACGTGAGGTGCAGTCAGTATTGTGGGTCTCTGCACGACCGTATGTTCCCGCTAAGGAACGTTAGCCAGCGCTGCTTTCTAGACTGCCCACCTCCTCCCCTGGCCCAAGGACATCCTCACTTCCTTCAGGATGGTCCATGTGTGACACCAGCAGTGGTGTGGGTCTTGATGGCCCGGATGATGGTGACCTGCTGTGGGGTCCAGGTCTCCCACCCCAGACAGAGGCTTGAGGGAGAGAAGGTGTCACCTGCTGTCACCTTCAAATCTCCCTGTGCTCACCACAGCAGTTTTCCACGGTTTACTGTCCTTTCGTGTTCTTTGCACAGATCCCACGCAGGGAATTGTAAATCTAGATGTTTTGTTTGAAGTGTATTACATTTTAATTAATTTAGTGTGGTGTGTATGTGTGTGGACTCATGCCGTGGCACTAGATGAAACTCAGAGGACAGCTTTTCAGAGTCAGAGCTCTTCTTCTACCACAGGAGTCCCAGGGATTGAACTTGGGTCGGCAGGCTTGGCAGCAAGCACCTTCACCCCAGAGCCATCTCACCAGCCCAATTTCAGATTCCTATTTTTGCCTCTGTGCCAGACCTATCAGAATATATTTAAGATAATTTAACTGGTTAGTAAAGGCAAGGGATGTGATGAATACATACTTTATCGTGTGTGTGTGTGTGTGTGTGTGTGTGTGTGTGTGTGTGTGTGTATGTGAGATCTGCCATACATGTGACTGTGGATATGTGTGTATCTGCCATGTGGGGGTGCCTGTGGAGGCAGAAGAGGACATCAGATCCCTAGGAGCTGGAGTTGTGAGCTGTCTGAGGTGGGTGCTGGGAACAGAGCTTGGGTCCTCTGGAAGAGCAGTACACTCTTTCAACTGCTGAGCCATCATGCCAGCTCACGGCATTATATATATTATGTCATACACACACACACACACACACACACACACACACACACATATATATTCCAGGCACCCACATCAGACAACTCACAACAGCCTATAACTCCAGCTCCAGGGGGTTCAACACCCTCTTCTGGACTCTGGACACATGTACTCACATCCACAGACAGACACATATACCCAAATTTTCTGGGCATGGTAACCTACTCTTAGTTCTAGCACTTGGGAGGATCCCTGAGTTCGAGGCCAGCCTGGTCTACATATTGAGTTCCAAGACAGCCAGGGCTACACAGAGGCCCTTGTCTTGCAAAAGTAAACAAAATAAATGATAGAAAGGGGGGAAGGGGCGTACAGGAGACCACGCAGGGGCGTGGCCCATGTTCAAGGCGTGTTCAAGGACCTGGGTTCCAGCCCCGGTGTTGAAAACATAAATACCACATGTAGGAAAGAGCACAGATCATAACACAGCTTGCCTGCCCTGAGAATGAAATGGGCCAGGTCGGGCATGACCGTACACCTCAGGAGACTGAGGCGTGACCGAGAGATCGAGGCCAGCCTGGGCTACGGTTATGAGAACTCGTCTCTAAAGCAACAATGGAGTAAAGGAAGAAAGGAGGGAGGGAGGGAACAGCACCCAGAACCCCCTCTTCCCTCACCCCCTCCACACCCACCCCTGCTTCTTGCTCCTCTCACAGCAGTAACAGCTTAGGTAGTCCCGGCTGTTCCGGAGCCTTCCATGTAAAGGAGACTTGGGTGCTCAGGGCCTCTGTGTTTGGGTTTTCTCTGCCGTCCTGGCCTTTGATTTCGCAAGGAGGAATGTGAGGGTCCTGCTTCTGCGGGGACAAAGGTCTCCTGACAAACCCGAAGTCACCTGGGGAGAGGGGTGATGAAGACAGGTCTGTGTCCCTCTGGCCACTCTGGTGGTGCCGCAGACCGGCTGGAGAATCTGATTCCATTTCCTTCTCTGGAAAATGGGGGTCGGGACCCCCTTCCCTGTGGGGTTGTGGAGGACTTTAAACAGGACAGCAGCTTTGGAAAGCATCACCAGGAGAGGGTGACATCATGGCGACGTGTGTGTGTGTGTGTGTGTGTGTGTGTGTGTGTGTGTATGAGTGCAGGAGGCATGGGTAACTCTTTGACTGAAGGAGCTCTTTGTTTTGGTTGTAGCCCAGTGGAGACCCCGAGGGGCCCAAGGAAGCCTCCCGCAGACAAGAGAGCCCAATCCTTGGACCGGCAAGTTCCCAAGAAGGACCCTGAGACCTCGAACTCTAAGTACCCCTCCGGGCCCACTTACAGGAAGGCGCTTCGTCGGACGGCCAGCGATGGGGCCAGAGCTTCTGGGAGCCCATGTCACTTTGCAGAGGCCCAGGGAGCTGTGGCCCCAGCCCTCCCTCTGGGAGAGGAGAGTGAATTTCTCCCCTGTGAGCAGGGACCCCCACAAGACACCAAGAAAGAGAAGCCCCCGAAGCAAGCCCAGCAGAGCTGGATGAGTGTGTTGCTGAACATCTTACTCCTGAGGGTTGGTCTGGAGGAGCCCAGGGAAAAAGCCAGCAGGAAGTCAAAGGGGAAAGGGGAGGCGAGCAACTTCCCAGAGGCAGCCGAGGAGCCGGGCCTCAGGAAGAAATCTCCAGAGAAGAAGACGGGTCGCAAGAAACATAGTCACCGGAAGCCTGCTGCTGAGGAGCCCACAGGGCCCCGGAACTCAGAGGCAGAAGGCCAAGGGGACGTACTGTCCAGCTTGGCTGCCTCACACACCGAGGAGGCGGACCTGGGGCTGATCCGCAGGGGTAGGCAGAGTAGGGTAACCCCATTGTCCCACCCCAAGGACCAGGGTGCCCTAAGTTTATCTCCTAAATGTCCTCAACTGAGATCAGATGCGGAGAGTGGGGGACATTTCTATGAGGTTGAACAGCTGAGCACTTGAGATCCCATGGGGTGCCACTGTTCCACATTCTGTGTGGCCTGGGGCTAGTGACTCCCCTCTGGGCCTTAATGCGCCCCCTCCCCGCCCCCATCTATAAAAATAGATAAAATAGTCGCTGTCGCATGGGTTCACACAGCTCACACAAACGAGTGCTTGGTGTGGGTGCACACTAGCTGGTATAAGGCGATGAGGTTTGGGGAGGGGTGGAAGGAGCTGATCTCCCACCCCTCGGGCCTATGGGTGCCGGCCAGGTGCTCTGTCCAGCCCTGGCTCTGATGCTGTCTGCAGTGTCTGCCCCTGGAGCCTTCATTCCTCCGTGATGAAAGGAGAGAGCAGGCCTCCAGGCGCCCCATAGCTGGGGATGTGGAGCAAAGTCTCCTTCGCTCCCCGGAGGCCTCGGCTGTATGCTGGAGGCTTTGGTGCCACCACACTGTGACTCTCATGAGAGGGAGAGCTGGTGGGAGGGGGGCCTGTCCCTGAGATACCCCCCTTTTCACTGGGAAATCCTGGCCAGTTTCTGATTTGGGGAAGGCTTGGGGGTGGCCGCTGCCTGGCCCATCGCTCTGTGGGATCCACTCTGTGGGTTAACAAGGTCAGTGGAGTGTCACTAACCCTGGCGTCGACGCATCTGACTTCCAGGGAGACCAGATTCTGAAGTCCCCCAGGCCTTGCCCACTGAGGGAGGCCGTGCTGAATCCTCAGAGAATTCTGCCCAAGCTGCAGGTCCCCCGTCAGAAGAGGAGCCCCAAAAGCCTGACCGTGAGTCCAGATGGCTAAGGTCCTTCTCTCCTTGGGGGTGGGAGGCTGCCACAAACTAGAGGGGCCACTCGGGGTGACTACTGAGCCCTAGCAGGGTGAGTCTCAGAACACGCCCAGCTTTCTTGCCTATTCCGTTGCTTCTGGCACTGATTTTAGAGTCTAACCGGAGGGAAGCAGAGGTACTAGAAAGGCTGCTTAGCAATGCTCCTGCCTCCGTGCCAGTGGGCACGTGACTTTGCTTTCGATCTCTTCCAATGTATTTAAAAAGATAGAGAAGAGGGGCTGGGCTGGGGTGTGGTTCAGTTGGTAGAATGCTTGCCTGGCATACACCAAGTCGGTAGTTGATCCCCAGCATCCCATAAATGGGGTGTGGCGGTGTACACCTGTAATCCTAGCCCTGGGGAGGAGGGAACTTCTCCCTTCAAGACCCTCTAATGAGCTGTTATGGATCTCCGAGGGAACCAGACTGGCCATGTTCACATTTGGGAGTCCAGTTCCGAACACTGTCTGTGTACTTAGGAGTGGTGGTACCCGTGCTCTCTTGCAGAGGATGAGCTCATCTGGAAGATAGTGGAATTGCTCAAGGAAGCAGGGGACCGTTTGGAGGAAGAGGTGAGGCGCCAGCACCAGAGAACACCTGCTGGGCTGCTGCAGCTCCGGGTTCGTGCCCCACCTGCCCTTCCCAGTTAGCCTTACTCCCTAATTCCTGAGGCCGCCACCCACTCTGGGCTGTCCCTGTCCGGGGCTACCTTTACCCTGTCCTCACGGCCGGGGGGGGGGGGGGGGGGGGGGGGGCCTGACTCACATTCTCTCACCTCCCCCACAGCAGGCGCAAGTCCCTCAGCCGGAAGTGGTTCCACGAAAGCCAACGCCGCCGCCCCCCAGGAAGAAATCCCAGGAAAAGAAGTCCAGTCTGAAGAGAGCCTTGTCCCTCAAGAGGCTTGCCCCCGAGGAACCCAAGAAAGTGGGCGCAGCCACTGCCTTTGGCCCAGAAACCCGGCCCAAGAGGCCCAGCTTCCTACCCCTGTGTATCAGCAGCCAGCGACCTTCCACCGCCAGCATCCACGGTGAGCGGGCTCTGGCAGTTACCATAGCAACTGCAGCTTCCCTCCGGCTCTGGGATCTTCCCAGGGCTGGGATTGGCCAGCCTTGTTCTGATGCCCACACTAGACCTCCTGCAGTGTGGAGAGAGGCGGGGGTGGGGGGGGGGATGGGGGGGTGGAGATGGAGAAGGGACAGGAGCTGGTCACCTCCACATGGCCTCACCTGGGTGCAGGCAGCCCACCTGGGCCCTTGACGGGACTGTATGCAGAGTCCTCAGTCACCCCCATCCTCTGCAGCTGGGCTGAGGAGGAGGTTTTCGTGACAGAGCTGGAGACAGGGGCCCTGGTTCTCAGCTACAATTTTTTTTTCTCTTACTATGTGTGTGTGTGTGTGTTTGCCTACATGTATGTCTGGTTACCATGCACATGTCTGGTATCTGTGGAGGCCAGAGGTGGGCATGCGATCCCCTGGAGCTGGAGTTCCAGATGCTTATGAGCCACCGAGGAGGTGCTGGGAGTCAAAGCCACATCCTCTTTAAGAGCAGCGGGTGCTTAACCACTTAGAACTTGGAACTCTTAACCACTTAGAACTTGGAACTCTTAACCACTTAGAACTTGGAACTCTTAACCACTTAGAACTTGGAACTCTTAACCACTTAGAACCCCCCCCCCACACACACACACTCATTTTGTCGTTGTTTTGATTTTTTGGTGGTGGTTTTTTGCTGTTACTGCTTGTTTGTTTGTTTGTTTGTTTGTTTGTTTCTATCTGTTTGGAGACAGAGTCTCACGCAATCCAGGCTGGTCTCAAACTCCCTGGTATACCAAAATGTCCTTGAACTTCTGGTGCTCCTGCCCACTTCCTAAACGCTAGGGTTAAACAGGCTCGTGCGCCACCTCTGGGTTTCTGCGGTAGTAGGAGTTGAACCCAGAGCCTTGTGCCTGCCAGGCAGACAGTCTACCAGCTGAGTGCCCCAGGCCCTCCCCATTTCTCTCTCTATCATCTCGTCTCGCTGTCTCAGACTGCTCCCTGTGTCCTACTGTCTGTCCGTATCTTGGTTTGTCTCAGGGGAGAGGAAGCTGAGATCAAGGGTGAAGGGATGAGGTCATAGTCACGTGGCCCATCAAAGCTGGAGCCAGAGTTGTAGGGAGCAGGGCTGGTCACATCGGTTCTTCCTGGACCTCAGGGTGGGTGGGAGCCGGCCTCGAGGGACACTGTAGCCAGAAGAGTTTCTGGCTTAGAGAGCACGGGTTTGGGGTCTTAAGAGGATGGATTTTTCCTGCAAGACGGTTTAGGCCATGGACGTTTATTCATGCCATGGAGCCAGGCATCTTCTGTCCCCCAGTGGACCAACCAAAATGGTGGCTAGGTAGGGAACCCATGGAAAGAGGGAGGAAAGGGCAGAGAAGCAGAGAAAAAGGTTTCTCTGGAGGCTGCAGAAGCTTGATCTGGGACACCAAACAGAGCCCCAGACTCGGCACAGCCCAGAAGCTCACTGAGCCCAACGGAGCCTGAGGTCAGGGTACACTGGTACCTGCCTAGGCTCAGAGCCAGCTGCTGGGTGTGGCCGACACAGCACACTTACTGTGCCTTTCTGCTCCCCAGACTCAGAGGAGCCTGGATTCCAGGAGGTCCTGTCTGTAGACGGTGCGTGCTCACATCCCTCTGAACTTCACACCCCAGCTGACGGTCGTGGACCCACGGAGAAGCCGCGGAGGGACAGAGCCTGGGAATCCAGTTAGTACTTTGCCCCTCAGAGACCCCCTCAAAGAACCTGTCTTGACTCTGCCATTTGAAGAAGAGAAACTGAGGCAGAGAGAGGAATACTGAGGCCTGTTTCAGCCTCCCTTTGGGAAGCCGCTGGCCGTGAAGACAGAGCACACTTTATCTGCTAGCCTCAGTTTCCTCTTTTCGCAAGGGTGGTCCTTGCAAGTTGCTGAAGGTCCTAACTGAATCCTGGCCTGTGAAGTAGAGGGGGCGGACAGGGCGTGGCAGCTCCTGTGTGCTGTTATTACTGTTAGGTTGACTGGCTTGAGAACTGGGTGATGATGGGAAGGGGCAGAGAAGGGAGCCATTGTTACCACGTTAGTGTTGGCGTAACCAGGCCTGGATGTGAAATACTGTCAGGTCTGCACATCTGGAGACATCTGGGGACAGGGGGAGCTGGAGATAGCAGTCAGTATTAGTGCCTCATAAGCATGGGGGCCCCAGTTTGCACTCCAGAACATGAAAAGGGAAGAGAAAGGACAGAAGGGAGAGTGTACAGACCTGTCCCTCTGAAGCCAGCACCGGCCACAGAGGCTTTTGTAAGAAACCCTGTTCTTTCCTCAGGAGAATTCAGGCGGAAGATCCTGGCCCTACTCCAAAATGCAGAGGAACAGAAGGGAGAGGAGGTGAGGACTCCTTCCCCCACCCCGCTGCTCTTTGGGGGAACCCCGCCCCGTTGCTTCATCCTAAGCTCCATCACCCTCCTGCTGAGTTACACAGTCTAGGCCACAGTTTACCTTCGACCTTCTCGAGGTCAGGGGCTGTGCCTCAGTTTCTCTCTTCTTCCCCACAGCAAGCTCAAGTCCAGGAGGCAGAGGAGGCTGGAGAAAACCCTGCCCCAGCCTGCAAGGTGAAGTCACATGGGAAGAAGTCCAACCTCCGACGGGCCTTTTCCCTCAGGAAACATGGCTCCAAGGATCCCAGGAGGACAGAGGCCTCGGGGTCTCCGGGTGCTGCCAGCCCGGAGGCCCGGCCACCCAAACGGCACAGCTTCCTGCCTATGTGTGTCAGTGGTCACAGAGCTTCCATCTCCAGCGGCCCAGGTGAGCAGGCCTGGTGTTACTGTGGTAACTTCAAGTCTTGCCGTGGGCTTTCTGCTGTGGGATGAGTGGGGAGGCGAAAGGGCCAGTTTTCAGCAAGGGCACCCGCCAGAAAACTCAGAGTTCGCTCTTAAAAAACGAAGGCATTGCTAGATCTGTGATTGACTGTTAGATGTCACCTGGGAACGCTAACAGAAACAGACCAGGGCACTGAAGGGGACCGCACTAAAGCATGAGGACCATTGGTGTGCAGTGATAACCTGGTACTTGCCCAGTGCCTGCTGTATATACCACTAACACAGTACTATCTCATTTAACATGGGAGGTCTATCTTATGATTCTCATCTGATAAAGGGGAATGTGAAGATCAGACTGACCGGGCTGAGCCTTGCACATTTAAAGGGAAGATGATTTTGCTGGGTGAGAGCCATGGGCATGTCCATGTGCTTTTTCAACTGCAGACTGTGAGGAAGCAGAGGGCAGAGAGGGAACACTGAAATCCCCTCAGAAGCAGGGCAGGGCTGGGACCTCCCCGAGGAATGAGGCAGATGCCTAACTCATTCATTTTTCTGCAATCCTGTGCAGAAGACCTGGAGTTCCAGAAGCTGGAGGCTGCAGGAGGAGAACCAGCTGGGTCCCCAGAAGTGCCTGTCCAGGCCAGAAGCCACACACCAGATGAGCAGCCTCTACCAGAGGGAGCCTGGGAATCCAGTTAGTATATCCTGCACCCACAGGGATAACTTCCGACAGCTCCTCTCCCAGGATGCCCCAGGCTGAGTAGGGGATGCTCCTAAGAGTGGAGAAGGCAGCTGAACTGCCCCCGAGATCCTCCAGTGGGTCCAGGGACCATCGGTGTGCTCTTTAAATTGGGGCTGCTGTGCCGGTCCAGACGAGGCTTTTGGGGTGTTAGTGCATTTCACGGGTGTAGATGGTTCCACCTCGGTCCGACTCAAGCTGCCAACAGTTGGTAATGACCTCTCTGTGAGTTTCCTGCATACTTGAGCCCAGACCGGCACCCCAAAGGCTGCTAATGCAGCTGAGTCACCCTCCTGTTGTGGGGCACCAGTGGCTGGCCACTCCGAGGGCAAGTCTCCATTCCTGACATTAGGAGCCCTCCATTTCCCCGGGGGGCCGGTGGAGCCGAGTGAGGTCACAGTGTTTATTTGAACAGCTATGCTGCTGTGGCAGTCTGTCTGTCATGGGTGCCATGGCAGTCTGTGTGTCATGGGTGCCAGGCGCCACTGGCGACAGCTTCTCATCCTTCCTTTCTTCCCTCAGAGGACTCCGTCATCCATAAGTTGGTGGAAGGTCTCCAGGAGGTGGACAGCGAGCTAGGGAGGCAGGTGAGTAGCCCTCAAACTCTCCAGGCAGACACAGGGGCTCATGCACCCTCCTCTGAGACCTGGGTTCCAGCCCTCCTTCTGAGTGACTGTGGTCATGTCCCTTAACCTCTCCAAGCCTCAGTTCCCTTTATTGTAAAACAGGGCTAATTCCTGCTTGACCAGACAGTGCCCATGCAGAGCACACCTGACCCATGGCAGGTGAGGAGAATGTTAGTTTAAATAATAGGATGCAGGCAGGCTAGGGTGATGGCCGGCAGGGAAGAGATCCTGAGTTCAAATCCCGAGCACATGTATCAAGAAGCCAGGCATGGCCTCATGCATAAGCCCAGAACTGTATGAGGGGGAGACAGGAGGGTTGCTGGGGTTCAGTGGCTGCCAGCCTACCTCCAGGGTCAGTGAGGAACCCTGTCTCAAGGGAATGAGGCAGAGCCCTAGAGTGGGACATCCAATATCCTCTGGCCTCTATATGTACATGTGTGTATACATTACACACACATACACCACACCACACACACACCATACCACACACACACACCACACCACACACACACACCCACACACACACACACCACACATACACACACACATGCAAACAAACACACACACACCACACACACATACATACATACACACACACACACACACACCCACACACACACACACACACACACACACACACACACACACACACACACACACACCAGAATGTTCAATGGCTCCCCAAACCAAGTCCTCAGACCCCAGAGACCTCGTGCCCTCCAACCCTTCAGATCCTGCTGCAAGGACCCTTTCTGCTGTGGCCGCCATGCCGGTGAGCAGTTTAGCTGGATCCGGTTCTCTCAAGCTTGTAGCTTATCTGTCTCCACACAGGCTCCTGACCTCCACCATCAGTCTCCCCTAGAGAGACAGGCAGGTCCCATGTGAGGGTGTGAAAGTGCCTCAGCTTTCCACCTTCCAAGCCCAGCCCCAGGACATCTGCATCTCACTACCCAGCCACCCAGAGCACCCCCCCCACCACCACCACGTACAGTAGGGAAAATCAACACTGTGTACTTCCCGAGAGCATCCTCCACCATGGCTGCCTGGAGGGAGTGTGAAGACCCCAGCCCTCCTCCACACACCACACTGCCTGGGCCACCTTGTCCCAGGTCCTTATTCCACATCCGTGTGCCCGGAGGGGGGGGGGGGCACTTAACGGACGGGTGCTCACACAGATACTAGGGAGCAGGCTGGGGTGGGAGGCTCTCTGCCAGCAGCACTGACGACCTCCACTTTTGTTCCAGATCCGGCAGTACCCCAGCTTCAGGAATTTTTTTAATGAGTTCTCGGATGCCTCCCTCAGGAAGCTGGTGGCCACCTTAGACAGACAGAGGGCCCGCCTCTTGGAGGAGGACAGGAGCCTGGTCAGCAGACCCCCGCCGTGCGCCTTTGGCTCACTCAACAAGTTTGCCGCCAACCACAGCTGTGCCATCTGCACCCTCATGCAGTCCAGAGGCCAGTACAGGGGGCACAGCTATGCCCACTTCCTGTCCAGGAAGGCCCAGCAGGTGAGCGCCGGAGGGGAGGGCCGCAGCAGTGGGTCACAAGGGACAACAAACGGGATCTTCTGACTCTTCTGATGTGCTCAATCAGACTTTACAACTTTCTTTTAAAATGACATCTATTTATTGTGTGTGGGCACACACACCACGTGTGCGAGTGCCACGGCACGCACGTGGAGGTCAGAGGACAGCTTGTGGGAGCTGCCTCTCTCCCACCCTGTGGGTTCAGGCTTAGTGGCAAGTGCCGGTGCCTGCTGAGTCCTCTCTCAGGCCCATCAGTCAGAAGTTTTAGGCTTCAGTTCCAATGCCACCTCCCTGCTGCGGACTTCGGGGACAATTCTAAACCACAATGACAGGATTAAGCGGTAGTCAGATGTCAAAGGACTGGCGGCCGAGGCAGGGGAGCCAGTGGTCTCTGGCGGCCGCCAAGAAGATGGCAGATGCAATTTGGACGATCAAACTTTGGAGACTATAGCTGAGGTGGGAAGGCTGGGGACAACTGTTCACAGTGCGGGAACAGCTGCAAAGGCTAGTGGACCCAGCGTGGGTGTGGACGGGGGGGGGGGGGGGGGGGTAGGAAGCGTGCTGCGTGCAGAGTGGGATCCGCTGACGCGGCTGTGGCCTTTCCCCCTCCCAGAACATCACGAGTCCGGCTGGTCAGAGTCCAGACTGAAGGCCGCCGCCGCCGCCGCCACATCTCACACCCAAGTTCTGCCGGACTAGCCAGCAGCCAGCAGCTTTGGCACGGAGACCCCGAAGACACGCAGGACGGCCTGGTCTGTGCTTCCCAAACACGCCTGGAGACGAGCGTGGACAATGATGCCCTGCGCATTCGGCGCTGTCTGGGGATGCTTTTCTTCCTGGAAGCTGGACCAGAGGCCAACTGGGGGTGGGGACTGGGTTGGGGTTAGGAGAGCGGGCTCCGTCCACTGAACCTGAGGCGAGGTCTCACCTCTGCATCTCTCCATCCCACTGTCATGACGGCTGACTGACACCTGCCAGATCCAGCTTCCAATGAGTATTATCTAGGGTGTGTGTGTGTGTGTCTGTGTCTGTGTGTCTGTGTCTTTGGGGGTGGGGGCTGTGTGGGTATAGGTCAGAGGTCAACTTCGGTTGAACCTCCTCCAGTTCTAACTACCTTGTTTTTTGAGAGAGGGTCTGTCACTGGCCTGGGACTCACCAAGTGGGTTTATGTAATGTTGAGAGTCCAGGGATCCGCCTGTTTCTGCCGCTCCATTGCTGACATCACAAACCACCACACCCCACCATAAATGAGTCTTTGTTTTGAAAAATAGTTTTTTTCAATTCGGTCTCCAACTCAAAAAAACACACATGCATTCAACAGCTGAGTCTCTGCCACACGTCACTTACTCAGTTGGCCAAATAGTGTTTAATGCTAGTGGATTCATGAGACCCCTGGGAACTCTGTAGACCCTAACAGGAGCCTGGGGTGATCTATGGATTGGGGGAACCCCTGATCTCCCAGAATCCTATTAGCCTTGTGAAGATTCTGAAAGTTATCTAGTGTTATGTCTATAATTATTTTATTGTATTGAGACATGGTCTCAATATGTAGCTCAGGCTAGCTTCTCGAGTACAGTGAGTACAGATGTGTGCTATACCTGGGCTACTTTATCAGGGTCTCATCCGAAGTCGGAGGGCTTCCAGCTGGGCTGCCCCAGATGGCGGCACAGGTGTGCACTGCTCCAGAGCCTCATGCCTAGGACATGCAGTCTTTGTCCTGCCCTTCTGCACACTGTGGACGTGATGGCACGCTCCCCACTGATGGCTGTGAAGTGTCTCCAGATGGCTCCCTCTTGTGGGTGTGTCTATTTGCACAACTGTGAGGTGTGGGTGCAAAAGGCCCTGCCTTCCACCCAGCTGGCCAGTGACTCAGATGGGCAGTTTCTCACATGTCCGTACTCACACTTAGGCGATAAGGCCACTGACTCCCTGGGCCGGTGGCAGGAAGGCGGGGACCGTGGGGGAGGGTATTAGAGCCTAGATGGCAGACCGAGTCTTGTTATCCTTGGAGACTATCGGTGGTCACGTCAGGCTCATGGCAGGCACTATGGGTGAAAGACAGAATGAGGGTAGGCAGGCCTGGGCTCTCAGGTGGGACCAGCTTCAGCCTGAGGCATCCTTTCAGGAAGTTCAACTAAAATCGTCCTTTTTTTTTTTTTTTTTTTAATTGCTTCAAGGTGTTTTTATTGGCACTTGGTGACCTCCTTATAGGTTTATTTTAGGCAGTATTCAGGGATGTGTCACTGACGTGCAAGAACTAAGTTTTGAGATGAGGGTCAGGAACCTTCTGTACATAATTTATTTTTCTTTATTATTTTTATCAGTAAGACAATCAGTGTCATACATAGTCCAGGCTGGCCTTGAACTTGAGGCAGTCCTGCTCTGCCTAACAATAGCTGGGATTACAGGAATATGCCACTACATCCAACTGTACCATTTCTTTTATTTAAAGATTTTGTTTTCATTTTAAATTATGTGTGTGTGGGTTCGTGTACATGAGTGCAGTGCCCACAGGGGCCAGAAGAGGGCACTGTATCTCATGGAGCTGGAGTTGCGGTGGTTGTGAGCAGCTCACATTGAAACACTGAGTCATTTCCAAACTTTGGACATAGTTTCTTATCAGTGAGGACCTTCCGGGTGGTAGAGTTTTAGGTATGAGTTCCAGATGCTGGCATCCAAGTCTCGTTTTTGTACGTGTTGTTTGAACCAATAAAGATGCTGACTTTCTCCGAGTGTGATCTGGCTCTTTCTAGAGAAGCTAGATGACCACCCCCTTGCCCTATCCAATGGAAACAAAATGGCTGTCCCCATCCAGTAGATGTAGGATGACCACCACTCTGCCCCATCCAGGACAATCAGAGACTGCTTGATGGGGGGGCTCAGCCTCCCTGTCCCCTGCCCTGGGTTCTCTCTGGATATTTCTCATGTGATCCATCCTTGGGATGACACTGTGATGTCACAGTAACAGATGAGTCATAGGTTGGGCAGTCAGGAGCCCCAGGCTTCCCGTCTGCAATGTCGGGAACGAGGCATTGCCCTCGTGACTTCCACAACCCTGTGAATGTCAAGGTGAGAGGCACAGAGACTGGGTCAGCCATCTTTCTTTTTCAATAGTCCATGAAGCTGAATGTGACTGTGCGTAGACGTCGACGGGGCAAGAGGCCCTTCTATGCTACATGTCTGAATGAAAAAATGAGGACATGGCTGACGAGAGAGAAGGTTGATTATAGACATGAGGGAGAGAACAGCTTGAGGCATGTGAAAGAGCCCAGACTGAACATGCCCCGCAGACTGAACCGGGGCATGAGCAGGGCTTGGCGGGGGGTGGGGGGGGTGGGGGGGTGTTGAGAGAGGAAGAGATGGGGAGCGGGGGACATCGGACCAAAAGAGGAGCCATGGACTAAGAGACCAAGAGAGCGTATGGACCAAGAGGAGACAGCCAAAGTGGCTGGGTTATATAGGAATCAGAGAAGCTGGGTGCTGTGGGATGTTCTGTATGTCAAATGTGTAGCCCAGGCTGGCCTCGAACTTGTGATCCTCCTGCCTCCGCCTCCTTCAGGAAGTCCTACCGGCATGCGCCACCACTCAATCAGCATGACCATCCAATTTAAACTAACTTATAAACTAACCTCCAGTAACAGCTGGGGGTTAGGGGGGTAATGCTCAGGGACTGGAGAGGGTAGGGGGCAGGGTATGCCGGCCAGGAAGACTCTGTAACAGGTGCTTGTGAGTAGGGACTAAGGGAGACTGGCCAGAGTCCACTTGGATATGTTAAATAGGCACCTCTGTTAGCTATTTGTCCCGGGTTTCTTTGAGACCCAACAATATCCAGTTCAGCTTGGGCTATGTAAGACCTGGTCTACAAACAGAAATCAGTCCCTGAGTATGTTGATAGAAAAAGGAAAGGCCAGATGTGGTGGCCCAGGCCTTTAATCCCAGCATCCTGGAGGCAAAGGCAGGTGGATCTCTGTGAGTTCAAGGCCAGCCTGGTCTACGTAGTAAGTTCCAGGCCAGTTAAGACTACATAATAAGACCCTGTGCTTAAAGAAAACAAAGAAATAAATAAGGGGAAGAAGAGATTAAAGGGACTAATTAAATTTACCAGAGTTAGCAAATGAAAACACAGTCCGTCCAGCAAATTTGAATTTCAGGTAAATGACTATAATTTTGGGCACATACTGCCATGAAAATGATTGTTCAGTGTTTACCTGAGAGTTTCACTCACAAGCTGTCCTGTGTTTCATCTGCCAAACCTGGAACTAGAACAAAGATCTCTCTGCGTTGCCTCAAAACAGGAGAAATGAACACAAGCCAAGAGAGTCTGCAAGGGGCCCAGGATCCTTGGGATAATGGTGACGTTGGAAGCATCTGGGCTTGACTACTCACTCTGAGGGAAGACAGCTGTTAATGGCTGCTGAGTACCCTGTGCCGGGGAATTGTTATTTCTGGGTTGAGAAGGACTCTCCTGTAGATGAAGGTCCTCACATTTAGATGAAAGTTATGTCTTGGGGACCTGCGGCCACATGCCAAACTCCAGCTCCTGCCCCTCATGGCTTATACCACTGGATCAGCCAGAGCACCCCTGCCAGACACCAGGGGTCTCGATTTTAGGTTGGCAGTGGGTGGTACAGAGGCTGTCACATTGGAGACAGAGTCTTATGTAGCCCAAACTGGTCCCTCACTCACTGGGTAATCTAGGATGACCTTGAACTCCTGTTCCCTTAGAGTTGAGCCACCAGGCCCCTCTCTGGACCTTGATTCTTTGCTTGCTTTTCAAAAGCCCGTTTTGTTCCCTGAAACGACTGTTACGTTTAGGCTCCTCCAAGGCCTCCTTGTCACAGGGTCCCCCTTTCTCTGCTTACGTTTACCCCTGGTTCCTCAGTGGCCAAGTCCAACTTACAGCTGAGCATCAGTGTTGGTCCTAGGTTTTACATTTGAGTATTTGTTAAACAAATGCTGCTGGAGCCTGTGGGCAGCCTGGGCCTCCTTGCTGGGCCTGACTGGGGTGGTTTCCTTTCTAGGGAGCCGTGGGGGCACATCTTCCGCTGGACAGCCTGGAAATGTTGAGGTTTGTAGTGAGGCCCGTCCTCTGAATCTTAGCCAGAGTGACTCCACCTTGCAGCAAGCTTCAGGAGAGTCTTCACAGCAGACTTAGGCAAACCAAGCCATCCTTCCCACAGTCAGTGTTTGTAGAGACTCAGAGAAGGGCAGGCAGGGGGTGCAGGCAAGCATGGGGTGCGGGCAAGCACGGGGTGCGGGCATGGAGTGCGGGCAAGCACAGGGTGCGGGCAAGCATGCAACCCCAGTCTGCTCAGGCTTTGATGTATCTGTGCTTCCCGTCAGCTGAGCCTGTGGCCATCTGGATTGCTTCAACCCGAGGTTGTATTCGGTAGGCCTCAAACCCGGGACAAAGGGCTGAGATGCCTACTAATGTATCAAAGCAGATGCTGGCTGCCAGGGTCTCCCAGCATCCCTCAGTCCCTACCTGCTACCTGAGTATACCTGGCTGGCATACCCTGCCCCCTACCCTGAACTCTCCAATCCAGGGGCTGGGATACCTTCCCCCAGCTGCTCTGTCCTATATAATCCAGACATTTGGGCCACGGGGTCCTCTTCCCCCCTCCCCCCCGCCCCTCATCTCCTCCTCACAGCTTTGATCAAGGCCATGTTCACTCTGGACTCTTCCAGATGCCTCTGGCTGTTTTCTCCTGTATATCTACTATAAACCTTCTCCCCTACCATAGCGAGGAGCAGTCACGTCCTCCTTTTTATCTCTCTTTTTTTTTTTTTTTTCATTCAGTGCTCTCACAGGATCTGCATCAGTTCTGCTGGAGACCTGGAGTGTGAGGGCTAAAGTTACGTTTTAAGTTTAAGTTACTGTGCTTAAGAGATGTATAAAACACAAATGTCTCTAACCTGTGAGCCCCACCGGCCCAAGGACAGATAACTTCCTGAAGTGCTGGGGGCTGCTTGTTCATGGAAGGTAACAAACCGTGTGTTTCCACTTCTGTAAACAAGGTTGGTTGCCCCAGCTGCACAGGATGTGCTTGATCACACGAAGTAGGGGGTGTGTCTGGACGTATGCTTGCCCATGATTGGATGAAGGTGGGAAGTCTGTAGCCTTGGGTGTTTTACACTGAACTAAGGTAATTCATGGACATTCTCTGGAAATCCCAGATATGGACCTGACCAGTACCCATCGTCCTGGCCTGTTTTTAATAAAGCTTGCTTCAAATTTAGCTCAGAAATTGTGGCAATGGTCTTATTCTTGCCTGGTGGGATTAACAAGAACCATACACAACAGGAGCTCGGCTGGTGACCTCAGGAATGCAGCTCTCCAGGGAACTGCTTTTCTCATTTACCCCTCACGGTGAACTTGAACAAACCATTTTGGGGCTGCTATGCCATGCCAGCTTGAGTGAAGATGTTTAATTTTACACGTCCCCCAAAGCATCACCCAATGAGGCTGAGGATGTCTTCCTTGTGGGTCACGGTGACAGCTGCGTGAAAGACACTCTGCCCTCACTGGTGCTGGGGGAAGGGACATTTGGTCCTCGACATCTTTCACTGCTGCCCCAAGACTCGGAAAGTCCATGGCTGCCGGTCTGCATGGCTGAGCCATATAATTCCAGGGGGAGGGAGTTCAAAACACCCTGAAGCCCAGAATGCTGGTCAGGTCCCTCTCTTGGGGGATCCCAGGGAACAGCTTGGGGAGGGGGTTCTAGGGATGATAAATGGAGACTTCAGTGGGCTGGAGACTCTTCAAACAAAGAAACACACTGCAGTGCTGGTGGCTCAGGGCGTCCCCTGGTCCCAAGACCAGCTGCCTTGGGTGGGAGGCTGGACCTGGGCTCCAGGTCACTGGGGGCTCTCCTGCTTCAGCCTAGGAGTTCTGTCCACCTATTCCCTAAGAAAAGACAAAGAGTCATCATTTCGAGCGTCCCCAACTAGGACATCCTGGCCTTAGTCCCACAGTGACCTCCTTTTTCAGTGTCCCTCTGTGGTACTTGATCAAAACCTGAGATCTAGGATCATCCCGAAAGCCAGTTTAGGGGTTCACTTTATTATCCCAGACCCTTAGCTGCTCTGCAAAGGGGGTTCCCCATAAGGAAGTTATTTAAAAGGTGTTTGAAATGTTATTCAGTTTATAAAAGATTAATTGGTTTTCCAGGGAGGTGGGGGTGGAGTCCCTGCCCAGTTTAGCTGTGTGGTTGGTGTACAATGCCGGGCATGTGAAAGGACCAAGCAGATGTCATAACAGGCTGCTCAGCCTTCTCTCAGAGATCGGACCTCAATTTCAGTTTCCTGAGACTTGAGCAAGCAGTTTCTGGGAGAGCCATGAACAAAAGACATAGTCCTTGCAGTAGCTCCCTTTCTGCATGTACTCTGACTGCTCAAAGTTCAGCCAGATGTTTACTGTCTGGGGCCCCTCACCAACTTAGAGTTATGTGCATGAGTCAAGGACAGAGCCTGGGCCACTGAGTCAGCCTCCACAGTCAGTACATGCTAGGCCAGCCAGCCTCCATGGCAGCTCAAGGACAGAGTCTGGACCACTGAGCCTACGTGCTAGGCCAGCCAGCCCCCATGGCAGCTCAAGGACAAAGCCTGGGACTTGTGCCGGACTGCCCCCAAAGTGATAATTGTAACCCCCAACCAGTAAATTCAAAGGTTAGATACGCTCACCCAATTAAAAGAGAACAGAGATAAAAATAAACCAATCCGAGTTG